CCTGTTGGCATGCGCCACTTTTGGCTTACCTTGCCGACCACATTTTACCCGGAAAGTCACGTCTGAGAGACGATCCAATATGGCATATGGGTCTTCTCATGGAGAAGACAACTTAGGAGACTTCCCTTTGGTCTTCCTGGGATTATACAACCATACCTTGTCTCCTGGCCAAAGTTGACTTCAGTAGATCTCTTATCATAAGTTAACTTCATCGAATCAGCAGACGTTTTCAAGTTTGAACGCACTTGATGGTGGATATCATCCATCCTTTCCGATAACATTTTCACAAACTCCGACACATTCTCAGGCAACTCTTCATAAGGTGGGCGTCCTGTTAACAGATCCACTGGCAACCGAAGTTCTCGACCAAACATCAACTTTGCTGGAGTGTATCCAGTGGTTTCATGCTCTGCTGTAATCTTTCTTCTTGTTTATTTTGGAAAAGAAACAAGAAGAGAGACAACAACAGTTGCAAGAAAACCTGCAACAGTGGCAGCTCGAACAAGTTGTTAGAGGAAAAAATGCTGTAATCTCTCTTCTTGTTTAATTTCTCGTTCTTCTTGTTTCTTTTCTTTTTCCTCTAACAACTGCCGTAATTTCTCTTCTTGTTTAATTTCTCGTTCTTCTTGTTTCTTTTCTTGTTCGAGCTGCCATTGTTGCAGGTTTTCTTGCAACTGCTGTTGTCTCTCTTCTTGTTTCTTTTCTTTTTCCTCTAACAACTGTTGTAATTTCTCTTCTCGTTTCTTTTCTCGTTCTTCTTGTTTCTTTTCTTTTTCCTCTAACAACTGTTGTAATTTCTCTTCTCGTTCTTCTTGTTTCTTTTGCTGCTCTTGTATTGCTGCCATCAAGTCTGCTAAACTGTAGTTTGATTTTCTGCCTCTCGTTTCCATTTTTTTTTCATCCCACTTCTGACACCAATTTGTTACGTCTCCGTTTGTTAATTAACTTTCCGTAACTTCGTTCCGACGAAACTTAAGCGACACAAGTCCTTTCTTAACAAAACTGGTTTATTATTTCCGAATATAACTTTACCAATACACTCAACTTCAACAATCGCGCTAAACAAACGCTGTAACGTTTCTCGTGCTCTCTGACTGCAGTTCAATTACTCACTGTCTATACACACCTTACATTACCTTCCCGCGTCACGTTTTCCCCCTCTTATATATACCAGACTACCCTATCTAGTAAATACTAGAGCATTCATGACAGAACAAGATAGTTCTAGAAACTAGAGGGCGCCACAGTAGTCATGTGACTCGCTGACGCAACAATATTCTTTACAACAATGCACTTCATCTTGTGCATCTGCCAAGCAAATCTCTTGACATTTTTGCCTTCAGCGAGTCAGTTATGTGATCAAATGTCCTAATAGAGCAGCGGCATGCAATATGGAAAGTGATTCCCATACAGCCATTTCACTGACTTCTGTATAGTAATGAATTTTGTTTCAACAAGTTTGGTTGACATGACCCAGGTGTAATATAGGCCATAGCTGTTTTGTTCTTGGTACTGGAAGAATGTTTTTTTAGCTTGTTCAGCTATAGATGTAGCTCTAACCTGCATGCAGTGCAGTAGGCTGAATCACCAGCAATTTGAATTTATCTCAACTATTGCTTCATTTCACTCATCTTCACCTACTCAGTTCAACATTTCTTGTCTCCCACGTACTTGCCTATTGTGCAGGTTTTCTCAGTTAGATACTACAATGTATATAGTAAAAGCCACTCTGTTCAGAACGCTCCCTTTGTTTATAACACTCGATTTTCTGCTGGTAACGTTTAAATTGGCTCGCTTATTAGTATCATGTGGAATTCTCGAGTTCTACAAAATCCTTAATCGAATAAGATTAGAAATCGCGATTTCCACATTAAAGTCGAATGACATAACCACTGTGCCACCCAGTTTTTGAAATCTAATCTTAACAAATAATTCAAAGCCCTAATGTAAAGTATGATGTTATTGTGTTTTTCATTAATACTTAAATACTGTAATATTTTTTTCTACCTACGATGACTTAATAATTTAAAAAGTTATAAAAAATCCCCATGTGATGGGGATTTTTATCTTTTTATTGTTATATTTATTTCTTTATATATCTATTATCATAATTACGACAAGCTCTTTGAATATTCAAAATAATACAAATACAGCTATAGCTTAACTAAGGAATAGGCGCCCCAAGTGGCATTAACGGTACTTTTGCGGACTTATAATGCTAGAAACCAGGTTTAGATACCCGTGGTGGGCAGAGTATAGATATCCCATTGTGTAGCTTTATGCTTAATTCCTACCAACCATATAAACTAAGGAATCATATTACATAATAAACACGAGTGAGTGTATGTGTCAAAAACAACTTAAATGTCCTTTCAACGATGGCGATACATTACAAGATTACTGACGTTTTTAACTCTTCGTAAAATAGTTTTTAAAATTTAGTCGCCAAATTTATAAGCATTTTTGATAAAAGGTTAATTCTTCGAAAATTTGCCCTTCGCCATAAAATTCATTGCCTTTGCCATCACAATGAATAAATAGCAGGAACAGATATTTGGCGATGTAGGAATAATTCTCCAAGAACCAGTTTTTTTCTCATGGTTCAGTCTATAAGGTTTTATCAAGAAGAATATTTGAACATAACATAAAATATACATAAGTCAAAATTATAATCAAAGGCATGTTACAAGAAATGACCAAATATACACAAAAAAATCTTGTTTTCATGAAATACTAGAAAAAGGATAAATAATCTCCACACATAAATTGTTACTACAATATAATTATTTTTAAGAAAAACGTTCATAAAACAATTATTTAGATATAATCTTTAGAAGAAAAGGTAATCAGTATTCACAGCCATATGACCAACATTCAACTAGTATAAAGTAAAACTGATCAAACTTTGCATCAGTGTAATTACTTTAAATCTAGCTGAATTATACTGAAATTGCACTAAGCCTATATAATGGTAATATTACTAAATTAAATATCTTTGATGTGCATATTTGAGCATAGTTGCCAAATTTATGAATATCTTTTAAATTGACGAAGATACTAATATAAGATAAGTCTGTAGTACCTTTTCGTAGTTCTGGGAAGAACATTGGTAGGCTACTAATTGCATAGCAGTTACACACTCTTAGAATTCATTATGTAAACGATTACACACTTCTAACAACAGACGATGCTTAAGTAATTTGTGAAATTTAATACACCACTTTGGCACTTTTGTCTTCAGGGCATAGTCTCCAGGTTTGGTTGAACAGTTTCCAGGCGTAAAACCAGTTTTAAACAATCCTTATACCATAGGAAATTGGAAAAAGAGCTAAACCACTATATGTTAAAAAGTTAGTCTTCCTTGTGTTTACTTTTTCTCCTTAGTTTGCCTGATTCAGATGTTTCGACTAAACTATTTAATAAACTCGCAGAAACATATTCAGACTACAATTTTAGAATACCTTATCTGATTTACCTAATATAATCATATGGTCCCTATATATGCCCCCCAGTGGCACAGCGGTATGTCTGCGGACTTACAACGCTAAAAAACCGGGTTTCGATACCCGTGGTGGGCAGAGCACAGATAGCCCTTGTGTAGCTTTGTGCTTAATTAAAAAACAAACAAACAAACAAACAAACCCTATATATATATATAATCAACCAGCACGTGGCAATTTATTAGACGTGAAACTTTTCAGCAAAAGACTCAAGAGTATGAAGAGGGCAGTGTAAATTAATAATATATATATATATATATTGAAAAGCAGATTTTGCACTAAAATCGAATGTAAATAATGTAATACTTTCTTCCAGACGATTGCTCTACAAAATTATTAATAACGTATAGGTGTATTTGCTGTTGAAAAGTCATAATGTAATATACATTAAAAATAATCATATGGTCCCTACATATAATCAACCAGCTCGTGGCAATTTATCAGACGTGAAACTCCTGAGCGCAAGACTTAAGACTGCGAAGAGGGCAGTGCAAATTAATACTAATACTGTTATTAGTATTACTAGTATTATAACTTCTGGTTACTTCTTGAATGGGAGTTTGCGAAGTTTAATTTTAATAGTTTAAGCACAGTCAAGTTTAAAAAGATTAGTTACAACTTCATTTAACGGTTTATTATGGATGGTACTACAGAGATCTTGACATCTGTATTCCCTCACATGGATCAAGAACTTTATGCATATATTGAAGGCAAGTTATTAACATTTTGGTTAACTTTTGGAAACTGTAACTTTTCTAAATAATAATATTATCTTTGATAAATCACATGACGAGATATGTTCCATCGTAGTGCACATGAAACTGTAATAGCATGCCAAGGTAGCCTATTGATAGATGAGAATGAATTTGCCGGTTTATTGTACCTACGTGGCTAAGCCTAACTAAGCTGTGTAGCATTCTAACGTCGATCTCATGTTGGGGTATTGCTAATTCAGTTGTTAGGGCTAATAATAGTAATAGTACTTGGAATATCAGATTATATTTGTGAATTTATTATTCAATTCTTGTTAAGTTTTAACGTCGATGAAGTGAACAATCAGTTCATTCTTTCTTGCTCTTCAATTTCAGAACTAAGCTTTGCTAGAAAGTATAGCATTTTTTTTTCTTAGACTTAGAGACTAAATATTAGTATCTGGCTGTGAAACAGATGTTGCTGTAGTGTACGTGCAGAAACAGTGTTACATGAAAGCCAACGGTTTCTGAAATAAATGTCGTACATTGAAAACAAATGCTACATATACCTCCCCTGTTGTAATTAGTTCTCATTACAAAAAAAAAGAATTATACAGTTACTTTCCTGCTCACAGTTACTGTATTAGTCAACATATTCTGAGAAAGTAACAAATTACTGGCAAGAAAACTGTTATTGTTAACAGGCTCTCCCATTCCTCTGCTGCTGGCATAGGAGCAAATGGAAATGAGGCATTTGTTAAGATGAAATAGTGGTAACACCATAGGGCTAATTAGAGTACAGTAAACAATAACTATTTAGTTGGAGGTGAAAGGTAGGTTGTCAACATAACTATATATGGAAACCATTACTGTTATTTTAATAAAACAATCTAAATGAATTAAAAACAACAAAAATTTACATTGTTTATGGATTTTTTAGACACACAAATAATCTGTTTTTTAGACATGTAAGTAATTGTGCTTTAATATTTGGGGTTGATATTGTTTATAAACAATAGTTGTTAGAAGCTGTATCTCATGGTCTGTGCTTCATTTATGTCTGTTGTTTATTATATACTGTTGCATGACACAACAATATATATATATATATATATATACTTAAAGCTGTTTTTGGTAGTGTAAAGCAATTGATTTTAAAGTGTTTAATATGTATAGTTTCTGGCACGTTTTTTTTTCAAATATAATTGTTGCAACTTTCCCTAACTTCAAGGTATATTAGTATCACCAGTAACTTTTTAAATGTGTATAATATGTAATGGGGAAACTTCTGGATAATAATGGCTAGCAAGAGTGTACGTGATATTATGACAGTTATCACGAAGGTCTGGTAGATGATGCTTTTCTTTTCTCCATTGGGAGCCCTCCAGTGACTCGGTGGTAAGTCTTTAAGCTCATAATGCTAAGAATTTGGTTTTGATACTTACAGTGGGCAAGGCAGAGATAAGCTCATTGTAAAGCTTTGTGCTTAACATCAAATGAACATCTTCCTAAAGATACAGGATGTGTATCTGAAATGTTGGGATTTGTAAATAATGAAAGTATAGAAACTCTGAGATGAGACTAATAAAAAAAGAAAGCTGTCCATTGCCAGTTCCTGTCATTATTGTTGGACTTGTAATGGGAATTATCTGTGTTCATATGTTATGAGGAAACCAGTTCCTGTCATTATTGTTGGACTTGTAATGGGAAATATCTGTGTTCATATCATCCAAAACTATATTCCATCTATCGGACATAATCCAAATACAAATGTATTAGTTAGCTGTTACGGAAGGTCAGATTAGGGGTTAAAAATTGAATTATTTGATCCACAATGTCACAACTCCAAATGCATTTTGCAGTCTGTAGCCAGATGACATAAATTACAGATGTTAAAATAATCTTGTTGTACGAATAAACTACACTATATTTCTACATTTGTACGATTCCCAACCTCCATCCTTTAATAAATGATAGTAATTAAACTATAGATCTTTATGTTGATAGTTCTATAAGAATTACACACCCAACCTTAACCCTTGATAAAACTTATTCAACTATAGTCCAAGGATTCTGAGATCAGTTCAGCTGATATATAGATGTTTGTGTTGTTAGATGAAGAAAACTACTGCCATGTGATTGGTTGACTGTCAGAACTTTATCACTGTATTATTGAGGGTTCCTTACTAAATAAACATCTTGGTAATTCTCTCTTTCCTCCAGTTAAATGCTCAAATCTGTTAGTTAGTGAATGATACTTGAATACTAATTGAACTTTCCTCTATGGCCTTAACTCTTTTACCAGTGTACATCTTTGTAATTCCAGAAATCTTATTCTCACCTTTCCCTAAAGCAACTCTTACCCAAACTCTATCCATTTCATGCTTTCCTTCCTTGGCTTCCACTCCTAATCTTCTAATTTTCCATCCTCTGATAGAGAACTCTTTCCCCCAAAGCAATCTCTTAACTTACGCACTAGTAAGTGAAATGTAAGTATTTTGAAAAACATTATAAAAACAATGATATCTATTTCTGGTGTGATCACACAGTAATATTTTTTAAGGAGGCAATGATTCAATTAAAATTTTGTAGATTTTGTATTATACATTATCTTTTGAGAATTGAATCAAAGTTTGGGTTGTTGTGTTTTAACACTTTGCTATGTAAGCTATACACAAAGTTTGGGTTGTTGTGTTTTAACACTTTGCTATGTAAGCTATGAATCAAAGTTTGGGCTGTTGTGTTTTAACACTTTGCTATGTAAGCTATACGCAAAGTTTGGGTTGTTGTGTTTTAACACTTTGCTATGTAAGCTATACACAAAGTTTGCGTTGTTGTGTTTTAACACTTTGCTATGTAAGCTATGAATAAAAGTTTTGGTTGTTGTGTTTTAACACTTTGCTATGTAAGCTATGAATCAAAGTTTGGGTTGTTGTGTTTTAACACTTTGCTATGTAAGCTATACACACTTGAACTTTATGGTTGTTGTGTTTTAACACTTTGCTATGTAAGCTATACACACTTGAACTTTATGGTTGTTGTGTTTTAACACTTTGCTATGTAAGCTATACACACTTGAACTTTATGGTTGTTGTGTTTTAACACTTTGCTATGTAAGCTATACACACTTGAACTTTATGGTTGTTGTGTTTTAACACTTTGCTTTGTAAGCTATACACACTTGAACTTTATGGTTGTTGTATTTTAACACTTTGCTATGTAAGCTATACACACTTGAACTTTATTTTTAATAATCGTACTTATTTCATCAAATGTTTTATTTATTTTTTATTGATGTATTATTTTTTTGTGTAGCACTACTGTTATAATTTTATCATATAAATATGTTAGAATAAAAGTAACTGATTGAAAATTTGTCTTATTTACTTAAACATATATATGTTAGGCTTTGTATTTTGGCAGTTGTGTAGGTATTTTCACCCCTTCATGCACTGCTTTACGGCAGATTCATTGTAAGAAATTTACGGAAGAAATCAATAAAAAATATAAAAATTGTCAAGTCAAATTATAACTATGGCTATCTACAATGTAACTACTAAAACCAGATCAGGTTAGCCTTAATGAAGATGTACATGTGTCTTAACAGGAGTCTTGGATGGAAGTAAGGATGAATTCAATTCTATTGAAGAAGTATATGATGCAGTTGGGGAGGTTCTTCATGAAGTTGCAGGTGAAAATAAGAATGAAGAGGAGATACGAGAGATTTGTAGCCAACTGTTATATGCATTGAAAGGGTAAACCAAAAATTGTAGTTTTTAATTATTTTATTTTATATTAATGAATAGCTAGTCTGTAGAAAATCTGAAGTGTCTGGTTACAAAATTAGCATATTAACTTCTTTTATGATACGCAACTTGAGGACTAGTGGGGAAATGTCACAAGAAAGTCAAATTAAAGTTGCTCATTGAATAAATTTATGTTTAAATAAGGATCACTCTTACTAGCTTATAAACTTTTTCATGAACATAATAAACAAATGTTTGAAGTATGAAAAAGTAAATTAAATGGTCAAGTAGATCTGTAACAGTGTTGTACTGAACAGATCTTAGATGAAGTGTTACGGCAGGTTTTATTAAGTCTTCTTGGTGTTAATTATGGGACTTCAGTTTGTTAAAAATTCCATTTTGGGAAATTGTAAAGCTCCTAACCCTAATGAGTTATATGTGTAGTAATCCTATTTATACGTCACTCACTACTGAATCCAAGACACTCGCATGCCAGGCAAGTACTCTATCTTTTGAGTTGAAAGATTAACTTGCTAACTGTTGCTTGCATGGCTTTTGAAACTAATACATTCTTCCCCTCTCAAAAATAACACCCACAGTTGGGCTTTATCTCAGGATTGTGGAATGGTCTTATGTTGGGCCAATTTCTATGGTAATCTTAGTTTTGGTCTGGTGGCGAGGGTGCTTGACTCGGCATCTGAGGGTTACGGGTTCAAATTATCATAATCAAACATATTCACCCTTTCAGCTGTTGGAGCATTATAATGTGATGGTCAATCCCACTACTCGTTGGTGAAAGAGTAGCCCAAGAGTTGGTGGTGTTGACTAGCTACATTACCTCTAGTCTGTCACTGTCAGTCAGGGTCAGCTAGGTATCGTGGGAGGGACGTACTTGTAGATTTACTTAGTAAATGAGATGAAATAGAAGAACGAACTGTAAAACTGTTGGCAACCTGTCAGTTCAACTTCGTTAATCAAGGTCAATATCGACCAGCAAGCGTGTGTTGCGAAAGAATTTGGAATTTCTGTAATTCTCTTCATAGAATAAATGTTGAAAGTAATTGTATTCATGGTTTAATGCATTATATTTTAAGTGATCATGGAACTCGTGTATCTCTGAAATTTTTTTGGCCAAGCAATTTTTAAAAAATAAAAATGTTTACCCATTTATCCACGTTTTAAATCAGTTTAGTGTTATAGCAAACAAAAATATTTCTAAGCCTGGCCAAAATAGAATTGTACTGATAATAAAACACTACATACATGTTCAACCCGGTTAGTGGGAGACACAAAACTAGGACTTTTTAGTTTGGTTTGTTTTGAAATTGAGCCCAAAGCTATTTGAAGGGGACAGACTTTCTACAATTTGGGTTGACCTCGGAAAGTTCTATTTTCACCAACTTTATTTTCATGTAGTCTGCGATGATGTGAGGGGGCATCACCTGATTACCAATCGACAGCTCAATGCTTATTGGCTAATGCGTTTAGGTTTGACAACATGGCTTATCTCATCCCCAAGACTCTTCACGTTAAACTGATAAAGAAACGACCTAGCAGGAAAGATTTGATGTAGAACACAAGTCTGTTCAGTGTATGCATCTCTGAAAAATGTTCGAGGATTAAGGATGAAGATAAAAAAATTAATTGATTCTGATTGGAAAACGTTACAGCAAACAGAAATATATTTAAGCCTGGCCTTTGTTTTTGTATTTTGATCTGGAAGAATGTGCTTTTATGGGTGATTGTAAATTTGGAGTATTTTTCATTAGAAGGATCAGTATCTTTTAGAGAAGACTGCTCTTCTAGGCCTGACATGGTCTGGTGGTTAGGACTCTGGACTTTCAATCTGTGGGTCACAAGTTCAAATTACTTCACCAAGTATGCTTCCCTTTTCAGCCATGGGCCATTAGAATTTGATGGTGAATCCCACTTTTTGTTGGTAAAAGAGTAGTCCAACAGTAGATGGTGTTAAATAGTTGTCTTCCCTCTAGTATATCACTTGAAAATTAGGGACACAGCTAGAGCAGAAGGACCTCAAGTAGCTTTGTACAAAATTTAAAAAAAAAGACTGCTCTGTTTTCATTGGAGAAGTTTGTTTTTTTAAGTTTTTTAGTTTTAAAAAATATGAGCATAATGAAGAAATAGATGATTTTAGCTGGTGAATTTTGTTTTATTTTTTATTTGTTTATTGTATTTTTTGAAAAAGGAATATTGATATATTAAAAATCAATGTTAATATGTAGTGATGTGTAAATAGATGCACCTTGGCATGTGGAGAAAACGTAAGTTAGGCAAAGAGCCAGCTCATTGATGAATGATTTGTAAACTAGGCTCTTGTTGAAGCTTCGTGGTGACTATGATCAGTACAATGACGACAGAGCGAGAACTTCAGTTTGATTTACTAAAATCTTGTTTGTTTTAGTTATAATATCCATTTATGTATACTGTAAAAACTAGAAGTTCAATAAGTTTATACACTTGTTTAAAGGCTGTATTTGAGTGAGATTTTAACATAACACTTCTGTGAAGCCGACCTGATTACCTCACATTCTAAAATACATTTTATGTCTGTTATCAGCTATCATTAATAATAATAAAATATATAACAGCAATATTAATAATTAAATGTGCATCACTGTTATTAAATGATAAAATATATAACAGCATTATTGATAATTAGATGTGCATCACTGTTATTAAATGGTAAAATATATAACAGCATTATTGATAATTAGATGTGCATCACTGTTATTAAATGGTAAAATATATAACAGCATTATTAATAATTAGATGTGCATCCCTGTTATTAAACGGTAAAATATATAACAGCATTATTAATAATTAGATGTGCATCACTGTTATTAAACGGTAAAATATATAACAGCATTATTAATAATTAGATGTGCATCTCTGTTGTTAAACGGTAAAATATATAAATTTAACAGTATATTTTCTGTACTTGTCCAAAACTTTCCAAACCATCTGTTGCGTGTGCTAGTAGCATTCTGAACACACATCTTATGTTAAGTATAATTATGTTTCACACACACACAACTCAAGTGTATAATTTTTGGCCTATGTCCGACAATTAGGTTTAGCAGCCTTTGAGGGTGTTCGAGACGTTCAAGCTTATGGGTTAGTTCAGGTTGCCCAAAACTGCATTAGATTATTAGACAAATCATTCTGCGTGTTTTTGAACTCTGAGTGAGAAAACTTGCCGAAGAACAAGACTGAGATTTTTTTCAAATACGGTTTATGGTTTTGGTCCCCTTACTATCAAGTAGAAATGTACTGTAAACAGTAGAGAGACGAGCATCTGGAATGATACCATGTTTACACGATTGAGGTTATGAAGTGACTCCACGAGACTAATATTTTTCTTGACCGCAGGAGTGGAAGACGTACAATGTACATTTTTTTTTCTAATTAGAGTATTGATGTAAAGGAGAGAAAGAAATCTTTTTGAGTGCATCAAAATGTACTGAAAACTTGATCACCTTGGATATTATTTATCATCTGTGTCAAATTGGGGATCTGATTTGTTTTTCTAGAAACCTGGAAGAACCAGATAACAAGGAACACAAAGTTTTGGATGCCCCTGTACATCTTGGGAGAATGGCCGAACAGTTTGAAAACAATGCTGATGAAATTAAAAGCATCTGGATGAAGCAACGCGACATGGTTTCGGTAAGTTATGTCATTGATAAATATTTTCTGAATCAATAGTTCTAGGTGAAGTCTTAAAGGAGACGCCTTTAGGACTGAGATATGATTTTTGAAATTTAATTATGCTAAAAAATTAGCTTTGTTAGGACTAGATGCTCACGAATTTGCCAACTGCAATTAGTGCCACAAATTGGCAAGTTGAAAAGCCTGCTATTTGCCAAAGTGAAGGGGAGTATCTGTAAAACTATACTGAACCATTATCAATTTTATTTTTTCATTCTGTTTGTTTTCATTTTCCCTCTATTGTTTGCCTTCTAATCTGTATTTATACCTCGTTGCACAAAAGTATATATATGACAGACTTCATAAAGGTGAATTTGCTATTCAACCCACTGAAGTTGTTTAACCCAATTTTTGCAAGCTGTACACTGGCATTCAACTACCAGAGGCGGACCGTGTCCTATACAGCAACTCAACAGTCAGTGGGTTAAGTATCTCAACTATCGTGTCTCGACTGGCATTTTATTTACATTGTAAATCTGCAGAATTGAACAGCCCTTTTCAAATTTCCAACATATAATTTCAGTGCATTTTTTTTTGTTCTTGGCAGAGCCTCACTAATGTGTTAAGAATACCCTATTTGAATAACTTGTGCCGTGTCTTGCTGACCTGAAACATGATACAGAAATATTTGCTCAATGGTGGCCATGGGTTCAGCATTTTTGCCAAATTGCAAGATGATGAATTAACCCTCTAGTTATAGGCATCCTTTTCTGAGCGTGTCATGAAGTTTTACCAAGTTACGTTCAATATTTAGTTGAACTACTTTCTGATCATGGTATATGAATAGACTTGGCATAAAAAAAACATAGCTAATAATCCACATTTTAATATTATAAGTTCTTAATTTTTACGACAATATTTTAAAATTGAAGTTCCCCTAGTGTGAGAATTTTGCTATCTAGTTATCCCCACTTCTCTAATTTATTTACCACCCCTCCGAGAAGTACAAAATTTAGCATAAATTAATCATTATAATATTGTCAATGTTCAGGCAAAGATAATTTTTATAGCCTTCAATTTATTTGGTTACAGAGCATTAGAATAGATAATTGGGTCCCTCTTGCCATGACAACCTGTCACAATGTCTTTCAGAAATTGCTAGTAGTTCTCTTTGACATTTAATGCTATATAACTGATAACCCAGAGAAAGCCAAGTATGTTACATTGTTTGCTGTACAGAGAATTGTCAATTGTGCTTCCAGTTCAAACTTTATTCCCACAGGAAAGACATTGATGAACTTAGCTGAATTTTTAACTGGTCTTGTTGCATAGTTAGAAAGCCAAAACATTGTGATAGGTATAGGACATTGTCTGCTTTTTGTTATTATTCTGTGTTCTTTGGTGCATTATTTAATTAAATAAAAAAATATTTAATGCAGTAGTACCATTAGTATAAAAAAATCAGGGTTAAGTTTCATCAACAGTGAATAGCAAAAAAAAAGAAAAACTGACCCAGGTAAGTACTATATTTCTTGTTTTTTGTGTGTTTTCTTTATTTATTATCATAAAAGTAACTAAAATATAAAAATTAGAAAATGTTTTAGATTAGATTAGGTAAAATAAATAATTAATAAAAATATTTTGCGAGGTACGCTCACTAGCAACTTGCGAGTAGCTTGTGCATCACTGTAATTCAATACAGTAACATGAGCTTCATGTTTGCCAAATGATTTACAACTTGTGTGGTGCGAATATTAGTTACATACAGTTCAAAGAGCAATAAAATTGAAGTATAAACAGATGTATAATGTAACAAGCTTAATGTTATTTAAGGTTATGGGAGACGGTATTGCAGTTGGGTCCGTATGTGTGTGAGTGTATCTGTCTATGTTTCTTCTTGGGTGTCTCGAACTAATAGACTGATGTTTACCACAAATTTCACACAAGATGGGAAGTAAATATGGGACAGTTCTCCCCAAAATTTGGTCCTGATCTGGATTCTTGATCACTTTGATGCAGGTTCATAATTGGAAGATAGGTCATGTTTGCAGTTAATAACTCTGGAAAGTGGGATTGGATTTGTATCAAATTTCATGGCACGTTAAAGTTGAGACTCCTTCATCAAACTATAAAAAATGATCTGGATCATTTATCATTCTGAATCTGAGAGTGAAATTTGAAAATTTGATGTTATCCGATATAAACATATGCAATATGTATCAATTCAAAACTATTTAAAAACCCCTTCCCAACAAAAAAAAACCTTCCCACTTTCCAGTCATTATCCAAAAGTCATAACGGAGATTGCCTGTGGTAATAGCGCCCAAAAGCATTGGGGATATCCCATCTATCTATTCCAAAATCCTGTGAAATTCAGATATATTAGTAATTCTTTGAATACAGTCATCTGTTTTCATGGTACTTAACAATATTCTAGATGTCTTGTTTTAAAAAATAAAAATACCATCTTCAAATAACCAGAATAATTATTTTTGGATTATTAAAAAATAACATTCCAGTTTTAGAATGTTTACATAATTTAAATTCTTCAAAAACTGACAGTTCTATTTTTACATATGACTTTACTACATTGTATACTAAAACAGACCTAAAAGATTTGATCAGGGTTTTCAATAATTTGTTTGATAACTTTATAAATAATGAAATAACTATACCCAAATTTAAATTTACTAGAATTCAATGTAGAAATTTACTCCCTTTCTGTAATTATGAAAGTTATATTGTTTTTAATGAACAAGTATATAAG